ACATTAGGAAGGCCTTGGTCGCTCACACCTACAGCCCATCCCCTAGGCCACCCTGACTGCCTGGGGCCCTTGCTCCAACCTATGGACAACATAGGTGGTGCTAGCACCATTATTCTGCACTGCAACATCCAGTCCCCAAGGGTCAAAACAAGCAGAAGGTGGCCATCCCTTAGAGTGCAGAGAAGAAAGGAAAAATGGGAGGAAGCCTTACGTTCTGCTGCTCTATGTTAAACGACTGCATCATTCACCGCAGGAGGAGAAACAGTTGATAAATATTGCAATGGGAAGTACAGTTCTGGAAAGGGACAGACTTAGGCCAGGTGTGTGACCTTGCAGAAGTGACATGATCTCTCTGAGCCGCATTCCCCTGGGTGTAAACTAGAGGATGATACTGTCCTAGAGTTTTGTTGTGAGGACATATGTAGAACCCAAACACATGACTGTTATATGGCAGACATTTAATAAATGGGAGCTAAATACATTCTCCACTTGCATATTTTATGAGAGGCAAAAAGTTGGACATGAAAATGACCCAAATCACTAGCAAAATTGCTACACCCTGTTGGAAGTGGTAATTTATTTTTCATTTTCCTGCCTCCAGTCTCCCAGCCTTCTGATTAAAATCATGGTATTTGTAGCTTCAGAAGCATAACTGCCTTGTACTTGTCCTCAATATTGGATAAACGTAGTTATATTTTTAGATAACTTAGCATTGCATGTTTTATTTTTAGGGAGCCTAGCCACCAGCAAACGACCAGTACAAATCGACATAAAAGCAGTTCATATTGAAATTGCTCTGCTCTATCTCCTTATAGCTGCATTTCCGTTCTTTATGGTGAGGTTTTCCAAAGCAGGTTATCTATTAAACTCATTTTACAGAAAATTGTTACAGAGGCTACTAAGAGGGAAAAAGCATGTTTGGGGTGGGTTTCTTTTCTTTTCTGTTTTGTTTTTCCATGTTAATTTCAGATTCTTTAATATTGTAACGTGGATAACATATCACTAGAAGATAAGAGGATTCCTACATCCCCAAAATATATTTTTTCCGCAGAAATTATTTGAGAAACAATCAAATAATTTTTCTTCTTGTCTTTTTGTGATACATTTCCCATAAGCACAATAATAGGGGCAACAGGATCGGAGAGTTGGAAAGGGCAGAGAAAGGGAATCCAAGAAAAAAAATATTCTAAGACAGGTGTCACAAACCCTAATGCCTACAGGACAAAGTGACATTAAGATCAGAGGTAGGCCGGGCAGGTGTAGTTAGTTCAGTTGCACATGCCCGGGTTGCGGGCTTGATCCCCAGTAAGGGGTATGCAGGAGGCAGCCATCAACGATTCTCTCTCATCATTGATGTTCCTATCACTCTCTCCCTCTCCCTTCCTCTGTCTGGAATTAATTTTTAAAAAAAGATTAAAAAATAAGATCAGAAGTAGGCTGGATGAATTGTAAGAGAAGACGGTAGGACAATGGCAAACTGCATAACGTATGTTCTGTCTGCTGCAGCACAAACTTTAAAAAACATTCTGTGGACCTGTGCATGTCTGTGGGCCCTACCTTCCACCGGCTGCCAGCATAAAGCCTTTGTTCTAAGAAGATTGCTTTCATTTTTGTTTCAAAAACAGCACCATGCGAATGAACTTAAAGTACCTTCTAAGATCCAAATTGCACTGTGTTGAAGGGAAAGCAGGAAGGATGTGGCAGGACACTGTGTTCCTCTCTCCCTTGACCATGGCTACTGTTAGGCCCACCTTCAGGTCAACAGAAGAGATCGTGTTTATGGTTTAGCACTATGTTATCTGCAAACATGTGGATAAGGATAGCTCATGACCTTAAGCACTTATATTTTATCAGACACTATTCCATGTGCTTTACTTATAGCTAGCTCCTCATTTCATCCTCAGATTAGTACTATTATTACCCCCTTTTTACAGGTAAGACACAGAGATATAAGCCACTGGCCTGTAGTCGTATAGCTCGCAAGCAGCAGAACTGGGATTAAAATCCAGGCTACCTGGCTTTAAAACCCACACTCTTAACTACTATGCTAAACTCAGTCTGGGAGATGTCTTGCTCCCCATTTGAGGGGTGTATCAGTTTTGAATGTTTTTGGCCAAAGGAAACAGTAATACTGGCTAACAGTGTCTAGAACAGTGGTCGGCAAACTGCGGCTAGGCAAACCACAGCTCCCAAGTCACATGCGGCTCTTTGGCCCCTTGACTGTGGCTCTTCCACAAAATGCCACGCATGCACAGTGCGATTTAAACTTCATGACCCATGCGCAGAAGTTGGGATTTTGTGGAAGAGCCGGTATTTTGTGGAAGAGCCACCT